GAACGAATCATCAAACGGCCGAAACTTGCCCTATATTTCGTTGTAACTTGTTGGCAGGGATGATAATGCTTGCACTTGGATGAAACATAAATGAATGAAGAAGGAGACAGATGCCCTTCTTTGAATGATCGGACGATTTAGTGCAGCTCTTCAGTTGTTACAGTAAAATTTGTCATAATCAATTCAGGTTTTTAGGTACTGAAAGATGTAAGAACGAGTCGAGATTCTCTCAGAAACAGAGTATTTTTCTTAATTTTTAAAGTTCTAATGTTTTGACAAAACAGTTCCACATAAATCGAATAACTTTTATATCATGCATGCCGAGCAACTCCTACGCTTCTAAAATAACAATCGTAACATGAGAATCGGAAAGAAGATACCCGAATGCTATTTCGGTGTGTCACAATACTGGATGAGTTTCCGACACTTTGTTTCGAGAACGCAAGGGTTTTCGGAAAATTCGAAAATCTTGAAGAGTTTCCGATAGATGTTTGGAAACCATGCTTGATTTGTCGAAAACCTTAAGAGGTTCTCGAGAAGATTTTTGAATCAAAAGTGGTTTCCAAGGATACCTTTTTGGTTTAGAAAATAGCACGAGAGTTTCTGAGAAAACAGTTGAGGGTTTCCAGATCTATTTTTCGAAAACCCATAGGTTTCCAAATGCTCGGAAACCCTGAAAATACTTTTAGAAACTTAACATGAGTTTGGAAACCCTTTCGGATACGTTTATAGGTTTCCGAAAGGGTTTCCGAAGAGGTTTCAGTTTCTGGGAAAACATATTTTTAGAGTGTAGGCTATAATAAAAATGATTCAAAATGTATTATATTTACTGGAAAATAATTTCGAATCATCTTTACGAGATTACGATATTTGTGTAGCGAATAAGAACGTCATTGAAACTCATTGCTAGTTGATTTTTGCACGTACAAATATGTGTTATCTAAAACAATAGCTAATTGATTCAGAGAATCAATGAGTAGTCCTTTAGCAATGGCAGTCGTATGGTGATCAATAACAGTTTGGTGGTTTATATGATGGAAACCAAGATATTCTTGAACGAAACCAGCCATCATTGCTTTTCACACAGAATGAATCACACGAGAAACTGAACGTTTATGATCTAAGTGAAACATTGAGCCTAACACTTTGTTGCTTAAGCCTAAGTAGATTTTGGTCAAAGATACAGCTAATGATACTCTTACGGGTCGTACATGATACTGTTACATTGATCTTAGATGTTAAAGAAAGGTTCCGCATTCAGCTATAAAATAGGCAAAAGTGTAAAAATAATGATCTTTAAACACCACCAAACACATGCAGTCATACTTTACACATTCTTTATGTGTATCACTTAAATAAGGAATAATTTTCTCTTATAATTTCTTTTTTCCTCTGTATATGATAAATATAAACATGTTTCTAAATGACAATGCATCCGAAGAGAACTCATATAGTAAATCAAGGAGCAAAAAATATTTCAAAATTTTTTTCTAGTTTAAAAGAAATAAATACGTTGATCGGTAAATTTTTATATGCTTGTGAAACACCTGAATTTTTATTATTTTAAAAAGTAAAAAGAGCAACTTTCATAAGCTATCAGGCCAATGGATAAAAATGTTCTTTATTGTGATTTCTCTTTGAAACCAGCATCTCAATTTTCGTTGTTCAAAACCAACGAAAACTACAAAATTAATTGAATTAAGTACCTTCTTTTAAACCGGTAATATTAAAGTAAGATTCATCCGGATGGTAGGTTGCATCATCAAAATCAAACATTCTTGAAGATTGAATAGTTGAACGAAAATCTTCGATGAGACCTTGAACTTCGTTATAGTTAAGAACAAGACGATCAAAGATAGAACCATTTACTTGGCACAGACTTTCGTCGCTAAGATTTGCCTTATATAAATGGTCAGCGCAACAACAAGTTCCTTCTGATATAGAAGCGCCTCGTTTAATAAAGATCATTTTAGGTGTGAATGTGGGTGTAGATTATCTATTTAGGCACACCCACTCCACTCACACACATATCCTATGCGCAAATTTGATGACATCATGTTGGATGTCGTCCAAAACTCTGACCAACAACTAGTTTTTAGGCAAAGAGAATGATAGTGTGCAACTCATTTTTTTGTAAAAGAAACTTCGTAACGTTCAAGTATTTGTTCTACTCTCTGAGTCTTCGTAAAATTCTGTATGGCACAATTTTTCAGCAAGCTTCCTTAAGCTTCGAAATTCGCTCAAATTGGATGAAGTTTCATTTTTCTCTATTGGATCGTATTTAACGCCAATATAATATCATTTGTTTCTATTTCAGATAATACATTAACACAATGAAAAGATCTGCAGTAAAACCGGCATATATCCCAACACAATATTAGAATTGTATAATCAATAAAAGCTCGAATAACCCAAAGTATCTTCAAAAATTATGCAATCTTTGTATATCAATTTAAAATGATGTTCATTTTTTTCATTATATTTATTTTAAAAAACCGATCTTAGACAACTTTCATTACAACGATGTACGCATCCAGTGAAGTTTCTGACTAAATACATGCTGTGTCACACTATTCAATTACAAAACAACTACAAAACACTCACACACGACATTATAACACACATTTAATATTGCAATTTTCTCGAATCTACTCAGTTCAATTATTCAATAAGGTGATAGGATAAAAGACAATACCATGTATCATCAAGTTTTGAAGAATATTAGTCAATATAGTAATATGTCATTAAAAAGAACATACACCAAAATACACAATATCAGACAATCAATGATTTAGGCATAAAGTATTCAACATTGAGTACATCCTATCATTTCAATAAGCGAGCTGTAACGTTAACTCCTGATGAAGGAATACTTCGGATTCTCATATATACATTCAATCAACAACATCAAACTAGATGATTACAATTTATTCTCTACATATTTTCCATAATAATCAAAGCGAACAAAGTCTGAAATAACAGAGAAGCAAAGCGAATTACATGAAAAGTCTACCAAAACTATGAAATAAAGAAGCATATACGTACCAAACTTAATTTTTATATCTACTAACTTATACCAACAATTATATAGAAGAAACTTCGTCTCGATAAGCCATATGACACGCAATCCTACCAAAACATTCTCGTGAATCATTGTAGGACGATACATACTACTGAAAACCTGTGTAATAAACGGCAGATCGATTGCGCAGCTTCAAAAATCCAGAGAAAAAAACACCAAGGTAACGGTGTGGGTGTCGGTGTAGAATAATATGAGAACAACACCCACACCCACACCCCAACTTTGCATGGAAAACTCAATTACAAGATATTCATCTGAAATTTTACCCATAAACAGCTCATGCAGCCAGTAAAACATCCTAAAAATGTTGAGTGCAAATGAATATATTCTTCTTGAGATAACGCATATATATAACAAAATAAGTCGTAGAATCGAACTATTTTAGACGCTCGATTTCTGAAGAAAAATCCATTCATTTTTCTGTCCATGGGTGAAATTTCAGATGACAATCTCTTAATATAGTTTTCCATGAGTAGTTTTCCCAAAGGCTTAAAACCTAATAAACCGGTCATAACTCTAGTCGGGCGCCGCATGAAGCCCAATCCATTTACAGTTTTCTTACTTTCATTCATTTCTATTCATAGCCAAAATATGGGACCGAATAACACCCGATAGTTGGGTACGTTCCGTCGTGAAAAAAATTAATTCTATTTAGTATTATGCTGTTATTTAAATTAGCTTATTTACTCTAAATTAATGACTTATAAATTCTGAGAGCAAAAAACGTACTTTGTATTAAACGAAAGTTCACATTGAATCAGAAACAATTGTACAATACAAAGGATATATTGATCGAATGGTATTAAAAAGACTGAAACAAAAAACATCGAAGAAAACATGTCGAATACTAAAAATATTGAAAAGAAACGTCGAATATTAAAAAGGTCGAAAAAGAAAGTATTGAACGATGAAAACATCTAATGATACTTACGTTGAAAAAACTGTCGAAAATATTAACATAGCATAGGTTAGATTATTCAGATGTCGATAGTTTATTAGTATATGAAGTATAGAGAAAAATTTTTCATATAAATTATACATGAATAGTATTATAGACAATAGAAAAGAAAGAGAAATAAAAGTCATCATTCATGTTAATTATCAAAGTTTATTTCTTTTGCTTTGCAATAGTTAATGATAAATCATCTAGTAATTCCATCAGATGAATTTCATTATGTTTGTATAGTATTCATTTAGTGTATTAATACTTTATTGTATTGTATTGGTCACTATCGTTTTTGGTCGACATTAAGCACCAGCATTTATTTGTGATAGCATATGTCTAAATCGAACACTAGTAAAAGCTTGCCTTTATTCGACACAAGAAAACATGGATTATCACTGATGGTTATCAATTAAATGAATTATCATTAAATTTTTAAGGAAAATCTGTAAATATATCTATTATATCTATAATAAAAAAATCAGCTATCCTTTCAATCTTATTAATAGTCGACGACTATGTTTCTTTCTTATTCTAATAATCTCATTACACAATGAACAGTTACCAGAAATATCGTAAGGCAACATTAGACACCAGTAGAACACAAACTAACAGTAAGTTGTTTATTTACACCATCTTCTAACTTTTTTGTTTTCATTTTTTTTTTTTGATATACTTCTCCAAAAGAACCCCTAATAAAAACTGTTACACATACTGATACAAAAGAGAGAAGAAATATTTTCTCTCTTTTGTATCATTATGTGTAATTTTTTTTGTTAATCTTTCTCGTGATGATAATACTTGTCGAAAGATTCAGATAGAGTTAAAAGTGATCTGAATTAAATCATAAAATTGTGCATATTTTTGTTGTAATTTAGTACTATTTTCGCACTCTACTTTGTCATAAATAATTTCGTTTACCAATGATAGATTTGAATGAGACTGTAAAAGATAACAGTAATTCATTTTAGAACTATGACCGTCTATATATTATTAATTCTACTACTACTATTATACCAGCATACGAACATTCAAGCAGGAAATTCTGCTGTTTGTTTTTTAACACGTAGACTAACATCTGCAACACTTGGATTTGCACAAGAATTGGCTCAAGATGCAATAGAATATGATGTTGATGTATTTATTATGATTGACGATAATAGTTTTAATGTATCTGCTAGAAATATTTCATCTAATGTTCGATTAATTCAAATTTCAAATCAAGAATGTATTTATTATGGTTATCAAAATACAATTAGTTTAGGATCTAAATGGCGACAAATTACATCATGGGATAAAGCACTTTTCTATTTTACTTTATTCAATAATAACTATACATTTGTTTGGTTAGTTGAAGATGATGTTTTTATTCCAAGTGTACAAGCATTTCGTTCATTACATCAACTTTATTCGAATACTAGTGATCTTATTGTTCAACGTAATCATATTAATTTATTAGGTAACACATCAACTTGGGTTTGGCGACTGGCATTCAGAAAACTTATCCCACCTTGGTATCGTTCAATGGTGAATGTAGTAGGATTAAGTCAACGAATGTTAATAGCTATTGGTGATTATGTTCGTTGGTTAGGTGAAGTACCATATCATGAATTTTTCTTCCATACATTGGCTATGCATTTAAACATGACTATAGTTACACCAACTGAATTAAGTACTCTTGTTTTTCGAACATCTTATTCTTTTCAAAATATATCCAAAAAACCTAATAATCTATGGCATCCTGTTAAAAACCGTACCACACATAAATTATGGCGTAAAATGTTCGTATTCTTAAGTTAATTAACATTGTTAAGGCTTCCCGCTAAACAAAGTCATTTTTCATCAGAATTATCCAAATTAAGATAAATACGTGGGAAGATAGCTCGAAGTCTGATCTATCATAAACGGTATGATTTTTTACTTGGGCACCCTTTTTTTTTCTAAAAGTTTTTAATGATTTCTGTCACCATCTACCTAAAAAAAAATCTTTTTTGTTTTTTCTCTATTTATGCTTTTTTTCTGATCGGACATCCAAGAGTTCTCGAAAGAGCTTTGTTGTAGTCAATGGCTTTTTTTTATTTGTTTGAAGAAACATGCCAAGATGTGGGACATGACAGAGTATTGTTTATGGAGTTAAGTTTTTTCAATATTGCTGAGGTCATACCAAAAAATAGTTATGGAGACACTTTAATTCTTTAAAAAAAAAGCTTTACGAAACGTTCTTTCTATGTAGTCTGATAGAGTAAAGAATGCTGTATTTTTCTATGCTACTTGATCATACTTCAACTAACATCGTAATAATAAACTTTTGATAAGACTTGTTTTACTATGATATGTGTCTTGTAGTGCCAGTGCCTATTCAGTGGATAGTTTGTTGGATAACTTTTGATGCAAACAAGATAGAGAACTGTGGTTTTCATCGTTCGCAAAAGGAGATGAATATGCGTCGATTCATATATTGTAGGTTTTCTTGACGCGATTTTCTAAAAGGTTTTCAATCAACCTTTTTGAAAACAAACCTATTCGTGAGGTGTTTACAATATGACTTCTCAATTATCAAGTGTTTATTGAAACCGCCAATGGAAGATCTAGAAAGCTGTACAAGGCTTAGAGATTTAGAATTAATTATTCAGAAGTAATAGGTATCCTAGTCGAAGTTTTAACTGATTTTTCTAGCAATTTCTGTAAAATAATTTTTTACTGTTTCCTTTTTGATAAGAAACCATTTTTTCACACTTAAAAAACTGATTAAACAAACAACAGACCATGCACTAGGAAAACGTATAATACATGATTCGATGTATCTTGATCTCCTCTTTCGAACAATGAAAACCGCTGTTCTCTATCTTGTTTGCATCAAAAATTATTTAAAAAATATCAAAAAGGCACTGATACTACTAGCCACATATCATAGTAAAACAAGTCTTATCAAAAGTTTATTATTACGATGTTAGTTGAAGTATGATCAAGTAGCATAGAAAAATAGAGCATTCTTTTCTCTATCAGACTATATAGAAAGAAAGTTTCGTAAAGTTTTTTATAAAGAATTGAAGTGTCTCCGTAACTATTTTTGGTATGACCTAAGTATATAAAAAAGTACTTTTATAATTAAAACGCCATTTTTTGAGAGCCTTTTGAGATATTAAATTTTTCACCGCTAAAATAGTAAGAATTTAAAACAAAGGCTTTATCATGCCCTGCATCTTGGTATGCTTTTCTAAATAAGAAAAGAATTAAGTATATAAAATGAAGGCTCACAGAAAATTGTAGGTTGCCAAACAGGGATGCGACGGTGACGATAACCGTTTTAATCGGTAACAGTTCCTCATTGGTAACCTTTCCAATGATAAACCATATAACCTGATATTAGGCTAATACCGACCTATACCGGGTTATATCAACTAATACGTGTTTGTAGTAGGGGTGTACAGCTCAAGCTCATGAGCGTGAGCGGCTTTCCTGATTCGAATAACGGAGAAAGGTTACCATTTGTTATAAACCTTGACTAGAGGTAATTGAAGTTCAGGAGTCTGAATCTGTGATCGGTTTCTCAAAGTTTTGAGTTTGAAGTTTTTACAAAAAAACTATTTCACAAAAAGAAAAGTTATTGATTTATTAAGAAAATTCATCTTCGTAGTGAAAAAAATATTTGTAAACCAATGTTTTTTATTAAAAGAATATTTTTTTTTGTGTTAAAAAAATCTTTCTTTATAAGAAAACATTTTTTGGTAAAAATATTTTTCCGCAAAAAATCAAACTCAAAATTTTGAGAAACTGATGACAGATTCGGATTCCTCGACCCTGATTATTTTTGGTCAAGCTTTATAAAAGACGGTAACCTTCCTCTTCTATTCAAATCAAGAAAACCGCTCATGTTCATAAGCGTGAACTGTACATCCCTAGTATAAGCTAGTATAAACCGGTTCGAACCGATGAAAACGGTGACGGTGATTCACTTTCGCCGTTGCAACCTATTGCCAAATAAGCTATTTTTCACTCTCGTCTGTTGAATATTTCCCGAAAAATGTCATGATATACGGTTGACAATTTTATCATACTCTCTCTAATAAAGCCCTAATTTATACTGAAAATTGCATGCAATCTGAATGTATCTGGTTCAAGATCGATTTTTTTGAAAGAATCTTAACAAAAAGAAACAATAAAATTAACAAAGTGTTTTTCGATTAATTTTTATTTATTGAATTCACGTTTAGATTGGCTAATGAAAGTTTAAAAAATAATAATACCATTGAATTGATTGATGTCGAAATGTTATGTCATAAGAATCAAAGTATGAGAAATATCGCACGATATTTAATAAATTTACTTCGAAAATTTGAAAGAAATAAAAGTCAATTTTCATCAACTATTCGTATTTCATTACGTCAACGTTTCTCCAATCTTATTGAACAATGTCAAAAACAACATGCTCCTAAACTAATTATATTATTAATAATGAAACTTGCTGATCATGCTTATAAGTTACCTGAACGTATGTAAGAAGAAAAATAAAAAATAAAATCATTAAAAAAATCTCTTTTATTTCTTTATTATAGCTCCAGTGAAAAAATTAATAACAAAAAGCCAACATCATTTAAGATTAGAAGCAGCATTGGAACAAAATAAAAAAACTATTTTTCAATTACTATCAAATTCTTCAAATGTAATTGAACTCAGAAAGCAAACGAATCATTTAATAAGAGAATTAACATTGGAAATAAGACTAGAATTCCAAAAACAGCAAAAATTTCGTAAGTCGTATGGATTATTTTCTTATTAATTTTATCATTTTGGCTATTTGTATTTAGAATATTACACTAAATCATCATCACCATCTTCTATTACTACTTCTCGCACAATTAGTTCGTCTCGTGTAATTTTTTCTACTAAAATGATAACTGTGAAGATGAATAACAGACTTTATGTATCATCGATACAAAATATTAATCAAACAGTTAATTCTATTGATTATAATACGACAACATTGATTTTAATACTTAGTTTTTGTGTATTATTTGTTTTATTTCGATTGAGAAAAGTACAACGTAAGACACGTTTTATAATTATTTTCATCTTTTTATTGTTCTTTGTTTTTTTTATTAATATATTTTTTAATCTTATATTCTTATGGAATTTTCATGGACAATAATATTTTTTTATTCATAAAAATAAATCAATGTTATTTAAAAATAGAAATCAATAATACAACATTTGCAAAATCATTTAATGTTGAACAGAATTTCTATGAAAACAATTTTCTGTCATTTATAGGTATATTGTACAAATTCGTTAGTCTCAACTTAGATCAAAAGATAAAATGTTGACAGAGACTTCAGCATGTTTTTTTTTATTGGATATATAAAAAGATAAGTAGTTTAAATTGGACCAAATTTATTTATTTGACAATCAATGGATGAAAGATAAGTAAAAAAGTTTTCGATAAATCAGTTGATCAATATTACTTAAGTTTCGGCATACAAACCAGTAAGCGTATGGAAACAGGAGAAGATAAGATCCAAATACTCAGGCCCACTCACAATTTAACGTCAATCATATGCTAATGACATCATCATGAATACTTTTCGAATAGATAGTTTTCAACAATTCTAGCTTTTAACTTTTGAATTTTTCGATATCTTTCCTTTCGAGTAGGGCCTGAACAATCTACAAACTATCATGTTTCTAATTAGTTTTCTATAAATAGAGAAAAAAACATGTGGCAAAACATTTATACTTTCTCTATCTCTTATTATGAACTACAAAAGATAATTTCATACAAAGAATGTTTTGAAGCCATTCTCTTTTTTTAGTGTCCTGTATAACAATTTTGTTAGATTATTTTTGTTCACTAAGAAAAGAAATAGATAACCATGTTCTTTTCATCATCAAACTTCTTATAAATGAAATGGACTCGGATGCACATGTTGCTGAGATCTTTTCCTCATCCACATCTTTGGTAATGATTTTTCAGTTAGATAACTTTAGTAATCAAAACACATTTTCCACAAAAAAAGTTATGACTACATATTAATTGCAAGCAAAAAATACGTCAATCAGTGAAAAATGACCTCTTTTTGGAACGAATAAAATTACAGTCTTGTTTTATTGCGTTGCTAAAATATCGCCACTTTTCATTTAATGAACAATCAAAAAATATTGTATAATATATTTATTTATTCATACCTAAGGGAGAAGAGCACTAAGTGATATTCGTCACGGAAGTTCATTAATGGTATTCGACATGAATCATATCCTTATATAAAGAATGGTAAGGAATAATTATGTCTCATAGGTTCATACAATATTCAGCAGAGAACTAAAACAATTTAATTTTTCATATAGATCTACTCAATATATGAGCAAACGAATAGAGTATTTTCTATGAAAACACTCTATAACATGATCTTTTGGAACACATAAAACATAAGTAAATCTCGGTTAGCTCAGATTTTATTAAGCACAATTTTCTGACAGTAACTTTTGTGGACTTTGTTGTTTTTCAAGCTTTAAGATGATTAAAATGAAGACAGTATAAAAAGTTAGACAGCTGGCCATAAACAATAAATCATACAGATAAACATAAAATACTCACTATCACCTCTCAATATTTTGCGGTACGGTAGTTGTCATTAATTCTATTTGGACAGCCATTGACTGGCAATTGAACTGGATAAAATCAACAAAACACCGAGTTCATCTAATTTTTGTAAACAGTAGTATTAGTTGAGAATGTGTAATCAAATGACGCAGACATATATTATAATATATGTATTATTTGATAGTTTCAGTATGCTTTTGATGAATGTTTTATTGCAACTTAATAACAGTCTTCTGTTATGTTAAGTTTTATGATAAAAAGATATTTTAATTTTTAAAGATACGCGTATATTAGGAAAGCGATGCATACTTGTAGTAATATCGAGATTGTTAAGTGTTATCTGCTCATTACTTCTTTTAAAGCTCTTTAACTTATTTCTTGTAAATAAAATGTTCTACTAAAACAAGCTGTAATATTTTTATTATAAAGTTTTTTTCGGCTAATTTTCGTAGCGATTAGTTTATTGCTCGTCCAGTTTTTGGAAGATGTACCCAATACATGAGATTTCAATCTTTCAAGCATCAAGTAGATCCTTATTGTCAAGTTTATTAATATCGAATCTTTCTGAGTAATTTTTTTCGATAGTCTTAACTTGCTTTCGTTAAAAAGAATTGATCACTATTATATACTATCTATAGACTTCCACGGCAATCATTCCATAATACACTATCCTATATAGTAGCGACATAGTCTAGTTTTCTATACATCAATTGAAAGACCTCATTGAGTTTTCTTAAATCAAACCAAAATGTAAATGAAAAAAAAACAAAAATGGTGTTATCAATACAGATACTGATATCATAGTGTAGGATATGGGTATATAGGTATGCAACTTCTCTTCCATCACACCTACATCCGCACATACTCTATAAAAATCATATTTGATGAGTTCGATGATGAATTTCAATAACAGATGGTTAATAAATCTGTTGAACAACCAATATTAATTTTTTATTTAAATGATGCAAGAATGTTAAATAAATATTAATAAAAACAATAGTGCACTGTGTACAATAGTTAATTTTCATCAAATTTGATTTTTTGATTGAATTTGACTGAGTTGGCAGCTACAGTTTTCCTGTTGAATATCGTGTACTTTTTAAAGAGAAAAAATAGATTGAAAATTGCTGCTATGATTCTTGCGCGTAAAACAATTCATCGATCGACTTTCTTGCAAATCGATACCGTTTCAACTTGTCGAGTAAGTGGTACAAATATTAATTTGAAAAAAAGAAAGAGCAGTCTGAACAGATCACGACACAACACTAAAAATAATAACCATTTCAATTATTGTATTAGATGTTCTCCTCACTTCAGAAACCAATTGCTACTTTCTGTGGATGTCAACCATGACTAGAACATGTTATGATATCATCTTTTAGATGTGAAAGAAGATTCTTATTATATCACGTCAAGAAGGAAAGAAGAAAAATTTTCCTCAGCGTAGTAAAGATGGCAGTCAAGTTTGTAGCGTGCTGTGCAAGAGTCAGTGATGCTCAATATATATATCTGACACATATTTAACAATTATAGACGAGCCTGTTTTTCATGAAATTAGACTTAATACTTTGAAAAAAAAGTTGACGAGATCGAATTGAATGAGGTGAATCTTCTAGCAAATCTGCAGGATGATAGACATTCCAGAATATCGTTCGTAATTAGGTAGAAACATACTGAATTACCACCAAGATGGGCATATATTCGGTTGGTAGACATTCTGTTCTATAAGGAGCAAGAGAATAAAATAAAACTTAAAAGTTTAGCAAAAACTTCGATGTTTTGGAATGAGGGAGATTGTAAAGAATGGGATATTTTCTTTTCTTATAGAAAAATAATTTATGGAAATCAACAAGCACAATGAGTAATGTATCGTATTATTAACAGAATTCATTTTTCAAAAGAAAGTCAGAACTAGCGATGGTCAATTCTATATTCAGTATCTTTCTTTTGATATTAAATTCATTTCAATTGAAAAGAAACTTGAATACAAATTGAAATGAATCATGGAACAAAAATTGGGTGTGCGTGTGGGTGTAGATCGTGTAGATTTGAGTGTGTGGGTTGTTGTTGGCATAGGTCCATGTGCACGTTAAGGAACGAGCGATACCCACACCCACACTCTCCCCCAAAACTAGAGTTTTTCGACAACACTATTCTATTTTTCTAAAGCACACTTTCATGCACTTACAGAAGAGATCTACTTGATTTGTCATCTTCTGAAAATTCATACTTGTCAATCTAATTCTGTAGTATAATTAACAAAATTTTTCTTAGCACTCATAGTTCGGTTCAGAATAGCCTAAGAAAAAGATATAGACAGGCGAGAATTTCTTTTGTATTCTACTGTTTAAACCTAAAGAAACCATTTCCCTATGGATGAAACTGTGCAATAGTAAAAAAAACATTATGAATCTTCAATGCATTACATAGTCATTATTTCATAAATACAATTTTAACACGATAATACACAAGTCTCATTCAGACTAAAACGAGTAAACCAAAGAAAAAAGACATTATTTCGCAAACAATAGTAAAATCGAGGACGCAATCTATTTCATAAAAAAACCACATAAGCCTGCATACGTATATGCACACACACCCAAATACACACACACACACACACACAGACAGACAGACAAGCAAACCAAAAACAGTGAATGAAGAAATTCAATTCGACTTGCAATTAAAACATTTCAATATCGGATTCATCAGAGAGCCCCTCGACTGGTATGGATGATGATCGATCAAACGAATCATTTACGACAGCTGCTCGACGATGATTGTTTGCGTCAAGCCACTCACGTTGGGCCATTTCAAATTCATTTGGATGGCCGAGAAGTGGACGACTAGGACCAACGATAGGTGCGTCCGTTGTACCGGACGCCGATGTAGGTTGAACTTTATAAAAAGACTCATTTGGGCCTAGAATTATCAGAAACACAATACATCTCCATATTTTCTATATTATCCTATTATTATTATCATTATTATTTTAGGTTTTAAATGTTTACCCATTTTGTATATTATTGCTCGTCTTGCCCAGTAATCAGCCTCTTGTATTTCTTTCTTGGTGATGGGAGTTGCTGTTAATGATCCTTCATCACCAGGATTTAAAAGAACAATTGATGGAACCGTCACGTGAATCGTTAAACTTAGTTGATATTTATCAGTAACCTGTAATGAGTCAAAAGAAAAAACGAAATGGAAACTTTCAATCGTATTCTCTTAAAAATGTACAACTATCTTACTGCAACTGGCCCATTTGCAGTTAGCATGTCTTTCTTGCTAGGAAAATTACCATCCTCCCATTTGTCCCAGGGTATGTCATCGAAAACAAGATATCTGGCTTTCTTACTCCACGTCTTCAAGTACCAAATACCTTTAAAATGATATACCTCATCTGGTAAAGACAATGCAAACGAAGTTTTACCTAAAAAGAGTAAGTAATGATATCTATTAGTATCAGTATCTCAAAAGCATATAATTTCTCCTTATATACAATCATACCAACCCCTGATGATCCAATGATGATTAGACACTTTGGTCGATGTGGATTACGAAAGTTCTCTTTAACCCATTCTGTAACAGCAGTATCTAGAAGTAGGTCATTGATAAAAGAACTGAAATTTAACGAAAAAAATTTTAACTTTATCAAGAAAAAACATACGAAGTTCCTTTGTACAATTTGGAAATGATAAATCCTAAATATATTCTTTTACAATTTTTTTGTCGTTCTCGAGCTTCCTTATTGACGTAAGTAAATGATTTATGAAAGCTTTAAATGAAACAAGAAAATATACAATATTATATTTTTGACAAAAAGTGTGAAATGAACTCAAATATGAAACTAACTTGTCACGTCGCTGCATAAACTCGTACGGTAATTTCTTTCTTATGTATCTCATTGCTTTAGAAACATTGTTTTCAGCAACCTTGAGAGCAATATCGGCAATTTTGTCCTTTTGCTTTCGGTGCTCCTCTACTTGAGCCCGGACTGTCATTCGTTTGGCAGGTGATAAATGAGCAGATACATTCGCATGATTGTTGTTGTTACTTGATGGATTACCAGGTGTTGCTGATCTTAATGCATCACGACAGTTATTTGCACAACAAAATGAATCGAACTCAATGTAGTTTCCATCTAGATAAAAGAAATATAAATATTTTATTATTATCTTTCAATTCATCGTAATTTTTCATTAGATTCATTGAAAGATTGTTGTAAAAGAATGTCTATACCTTTTTTAATGTAGGCATTCCAAGCCGCATTATTCTTTGTAACCTGATAATTGCAATGAACATCTATTTAAACAAGAACAATCAATGAACATCAAGAATGTACCTGATTTCGACAGATACTGGTATATTTGTCTAAAAACCAACTGGTTTTGTTGACTGACTTAGCCCAAATAATTTGTACGTGAAGGTGTTGTTTGGATGCAACACCTACTACCTCACATGATACACAAATATACTGAATATTATTACGACCAAATTCTTCAATAATATGTTCGAGAAGTTTTTCTTCTATTTAAATAGAATAAAAATAAAAAACAATGATTTGTTGTAAACAAAAGAGAAACAGTCAAAAACTTATAAATTAAATAATATTCTTACTAGTAATGCTTGTCCAACATGTGATAGCAAAATATTTAGTATCCATGCGACAATTTTTTTCTCACGTCGAGCAGCTGTTGCTTTTCCTTTTAAATCAAATTGATTTTCTTTAGCAATTGTTTGCTTATCTAATTTAAAAAAATGCAAGTTTCGATTCAAAGAAATCCCTATGTATTTTGTGTTTGATTTCGTTCGACTTTGTTATATATATACCTTTATTGATGTGCTTGGAATATGAATGATCATGTGACTGAGCTACATCGATTTGATTGATAAGCAAATTTGAATGCTGATTATACAGACCAACAGTTGTAGCTGCAGCATAATTAATACGTGATGATGAGGTAGGTTCTAGCTCAAAGAGAAAGAAATTTTAATTGTAGCAATCTCATGTTGTGTTGGCTTACAATCAAGAATGTTTTCATTCTTGTTGTTAAAACCGATCGATGCGATCAGTGACGATTGACTATCTATAAGGTATACTAACAACAATATATATTGAAAAGAACGATAATTTAATTGATAGAAAAGTTGAAAGAGTAGAATGTTAATCCTAGAATTACGATACATATGAAAAATGATATATATTTGTAGAAGAATATGTTAAGCTAAGCACTAGCTGTGCCTATGCTACTTATCTATGTTGATCAGTACACCTACAACAAAATCAACCTGACTGTTGTTAGCCCCTAGATATATATACACTATTTGATGAAATGTCCTCGTGAATCGTTAATGAACCAATCATTAATGGTCAAATCAGAAAACATAGTGACTATGTGAATGATATGTCCTAGTAAACCGTTAAGCAACCAATCGTTAATGCTCCAATCAGAAGATGTTGTCATTATGTGAGTCAAATGTCCTAGTAAATCGTTAATGAACCAATCACTAGTGGTCCAATGAGAAAACGTAGTCATTATATAAGAGAAATGTCCTTACAAACTTTAAAGAGCCAATCACTACTTGTCGAGTCAGTAAAAATAGACAATATGTCAAAAAATTGTCCTTACATTTAATGAATCTTGTATCACAATAGTGATCTACTATTTTGACATCAGTACATATATTTAGTCATAATTGTTAACAAGACATAATTTTGTTTTTCTTAGAGGTACTGTTAGCGTCCATGATGAATCACTTGGACGCTAAACGATGATTAAGATGCGCCTTCTAGTCTAATTGGCTTAGGACAACTGCCCAGATAGCAGGAGGTGTGGGTTCGATTCCCACGAAGGTCATCTTTTTCATCGTTCTTTCACATAGCATCAGTGACACTGCTTGTCTCTTTCTTTCTATACATAGTAGAGCTAACAGGTACAGTATAATTTCTACGCAACCTATAATTATATGTCTTTTTGTCTGAGATAACTTTCTCGATTTCAGCATCATAGATTTTTGTTAGTGGAACTAAATAAAAGAGGTTGTGTTTTTGTTAAAATCTTTAACAGAAAACAAATCTCCTCCAACTATCTTCGATATCTACTTCATATTAATTGTATACGTACTGTTTATGCTTTGATATTTTTAATGTACAAACAAGAAAAGAATAAAATTGAATTGTAAGTTAATACAATTGCATTGATTTCATGAACCTTTTATTTTTTTTACTAGATTCCGTTTACATTTGAAAACATCACAACATTCGATAATATCAAATGAAATATCACTTGATTGATAATAATAGTCTTTATGATAAAGATATTGATGTTGAATTTATAGTGACTATTTGTAATGATTTATCAGTTATAGACGATAGTTCCAAAGAAATAAAGATTACTGTTGTTCATTATTTTACTTTTTTCTTACTGGTTATTCTAATTTTAAGGACTGATATTTAGAGTTTTAAGAACATATTTCTTTTAATTAAGAATCTTCAACTCATATTAATAAATTGTTGATGTTGTACTATCATCACTTGATGGTAGTGGCCATGAATATTCAATGGAACTCAATAAAACATTTTCTCTTAATAATGATCATCCTTCTAGTATATCTGGGCGTGTATATAAACTTTTAGCAATAATTGAGTCAATTAATATTAATGTTGGTAACATTCTGACACAATTCTCTGCGTATTATACTCGAAAATGATGTGCAATATCTTGAGTGAATTCAGTATGAGTAATCGATGATTACTAAAGCATTTTTGTCTTAATTGTTTCAGCATTTCGAACAAAATTTCTTGTTTTTTTTTCTCTTTCTTTATCAATACCTTCTTATGTAACTTAATAAACTTCAAAATATTCATAGTGACTATTGAAAAAAGTTAGAATTTGATCAGTTCATTCGATTGGATGTATAATTAGTTAAGTTTTAACACGAATCATTCGATCTAAATAACAAAAAGCAAACAATCAATAGATCAAAATAATATTTCTCAGTTACAAGAATAAATAATTAAGAAAAAGTGTTTTCTTTTTATAGATATGAACTTGCTTCTTCAAGTCGAAGTTGTTGTTGTCGATAGATCATTCTTCCATTTGAAAAATGACTTTTGGACATGTGAAGATTTAATGGTTATTAATTGATGAGAACAGTATAGTATTGGTTCTCTTAATGTGAACACATTTTCAATCTCTTTCTATTGTATAATACCTGTTTTTTACGCACGATTCGTTTGTTCAACTAATTAAGAAAAGAATGACATCACAAAACCAGTTTATTTTGCAAGAAAAAATTCAATTAGCTAATGAGTAAAAATCAAACTTAGTTAACATTAATATTACTTCAAAAGCAGAAAAACAAAGAACATCTTAGACCCAGAATAGATGAATTCTAGGATCAATAACCAGATGTTTAATCAAAACTAGTGTAAAAGAAAATATTCTGGAGCAGTTTCTTCATTCCCACGGCAAACCATACGTTTACTTTCGAAAATGATCAAAAATGTTTTTGAACAATAATTGAAATATTGTTGAAATATTGATTCGTTTTCATCTCTATAAGAACAACCTCCTATATATGAATACATAAACAATTTCTTTAATTGTTATCTTAATAAGTTATACGAGATCTCCAGTATATAGGTTGAAATTGAATAGATATAATTAGCGAAATTATATTCGCACCTTAAAAAAAGCAATCTCAAACTAGAAAAAAATCACTATTTTTTATTTCCCTCTGTATTTGGGATTTTCACTATTAAATACATAGTAGTACAGTCACTTGTTAATGAGTTTTGTCTAATTTTATCTTCAAGACCATCAATGTACAGTAGAAATGAAAAATGGTGAGTTTTTTTTTTCGTTGGACGCTCCTCTACTTCTTTATAGGCAAAATAATTAGTCTGATAATGTCTCCAAAGCATTTAAAATTTGATGTAATTAAAAGATACGTTTGTAAGTAGTGGTAGGCTTCTCACTTAATCAACCATTCATATCAATTTTGTTTTTTTTTGTATCTTAGTTATAAGCAGAGGCATACCTATACTTTTCTCTTATGATGCACATACATATACATCAGTTAATTGCCTAATCGATGTGTATGAGAACGCAAAAGAAAAAAAAGTCGTTTCTATGTTTTTGGTCGAAACATATAACAAACAGGTCATTTTATTTACATAAACAGTACAATTACTTCAGGTGAATATTGATAAAAAAAACACTATTCAATAAGATGCTTGGCTCTTCTTTGATCCTACTACAGCACATAATAAACTATCACCGCTCCGTGTAGAAGAGTTCGTTTTCGATGACTCCATATGCATTAGAATTTCTATTTGTATTTTACACACTAGACTAAAACCCTCATTTCTAGAAATGCAATAGATAATTTGCAGAACCTACCAAAAACTACAATATGCGCTAATTATATTTTGATTCTGATCTCACGCTCAGCTTGTGGGCTAGGGCACTTTATATGTGCTCTCAAAACTCCAAGACGTAAAATTTTATCCTGTAGAAAAAAAAATCAAAATCGTAGTTGAAGTAAAATTTTGAGAAGATTCTCAGGGCTATCGTTGCTTCGCAGCTGAAAAGTCGCTCGTGACACCAAAGTTCAATCATAGTTCAAACTGAATGATCTCAGGAGACAAAAAGTTGTTAAAAAAAACGTTAAAAAACAATAAATTAGCGTGTTCACTGTTTTAAAACGTTTCAACACGTTTATTGATTAAAATCGTACTTTAGACGCCTTTTTGCAGTTAGTTTTAGTGCAATTTGTTTATAAACTGTTTGGATCATATTAAATTGATCAAACATTATTTAATACAGTCTTTAAAAGACTAGATAAATATTTTCTTACACTATAGCTGCCAAGACACATTTGTCTACTAAAACTGAAATAAACAAATCATGTGACAAGTAAAATATGTTTTTCTTAGTTGAATAGATAGGAGTTTGTATTGAATGTCCGTAGCTGAATGTTTTTGGCTAGAGAATAATGTATATATATATATATATATGAAAATGCATATTTATATCTTTAGTCTCACTATTTTCTGAACATGGAAATCTTCATGAGTAGTAGAAAGGACAAGGCGAACGTCTCCGGCAATTTTCTGAGATAAAAAATGAGAAAAAGGTGTGACGCTCTCAAGCGGCCATGCATCATATAGTTGCACGCGTCTTTGAAGACTACGAAAGATTAAAATATCAGTAGTTGACAATATCTTCATCTGTTCTATTTTTTTATATAGCATGCATCACTTGGTGTTGGCATCATTCTTCTCTATTCATATTCCTCTGATATCCACAGTAATTTTTTCTTTGTTAGAAATGAGATCATCATATTTCAATAATAAACTATTGTTGGTAAAGTAGTTCTATTTTTGCATGATTAGGGTATAGATGTGGCTGTAGCTAAATCGAGGATCCACAGTAACCGTCGCAACTACGACCGTCCAAACTGTTAAAAATGTTTGATAGCTCGAAAAAACCGCATTTAAACATAGTTTTTTCTCGTTTGGTTATCTGCTTGAATAGGTAGCTCGAGAAGATCACAGACTACATGGATTCTCTTTCACTAGTTCATTGTCTTTACATGATAAAAAAATTCAATATAAACACATCAGTCGATATCTGACGAAATACATCAGCTTTTATTCTATTTGCATGAGTTTTTATTCTAAGGATTCTCTTCCTTGTTGTATTGTTGTCAAGTTTCATCGAGATATGCCTTTGTGGTGCAGTATGGGTTGGTTCATCTTGAGCACTATCATCTTCTTCCTTGGAAATGTGCCATCAGCAATGACGATTCCCAACTATGTACTGACGTTTGCACCAGAACTTCGGTTCGATCGGGCAGCCAAAGGTTATCCAATGTCAGCCCAGGTGTTTTATGAAGTCTGGAAAAATTATCAATCTGGTCCATTCTTAATTGAAAATACAGACAGGACTACACTCGCCAAGGGCACAGTACCAACTTATTACCAGATTCGTACAATCGGGAAACAAATCCGTATTAACTACTGGTGGTTTTATGGCTATCAACACCCATGCTTCTTAGATGAGGGTGCACATAATGGTGACTGGGAACATGTAATGGTAATTCTGACAGAAGATCGCAGTGCTGTAGCTGCTATCAGCTTTTATCAACATGGTCAACATTACACTCGCATTGCAGGTCCACGTGATGCACCATGCACTCCTAGTGGAATTGGTCGTTGCTCTGGATCTTATGGTTTTTACAGTAGCGGTACTCATCCAGTCGTATATGCTGGCAAACTTGCACACGGCTCTTTTCATGACAGAAATGCATTTAGTCCTCCAGCAGGTGGTGAATGTGCATACTACGGTGATTTTCGCAATCCGGAATCAAGTGCTGATTACTTACAAACATGGAAGAATCTGATCGATCTTGATGGAAACGAGGAGTCCTGGATTGCAGAAGATAGAACCGCTACTTGGGTATGGGGTCCAGATGGTGTTAGTAAACATCCAACCCAACATGATCCAGCTGATGCTGAACATTCGATCGCCTGTGAAGGAAGCGCAACATATGGTGTGGCTAATGCAGGTTGCTATCAATCTGAATGCTTGTCTGGAGATGACGAGACTGCAACAGCGTGCTTGAAAGAATGCAAGGTTGGTTATGTCAATATCGGTCTTTATTGCCAAAAGGGCCGCTGGCCGTGGGAAATGCAATTCTACAATCGTCTGTCGGGGTCAAACTCTTACTCCTACTCTTACACTCTACCACACGAAGATGTTGGCTTGAGCCGTCGTCGCGACGATCAAAGCGAATGGCAACTACCATAGTTAGTGACAAACATTCATAATCATACGTCGAACATTTCGTTTAGTTTGAACAACAGATTTTTTTTAGAAGTCTAATTATAATACTATGTATAACTTATTCATTCATTTGAGTTCTAATAAAATAATCAAAAATTATCATTGCAAGATTGCTTCTATTTGTCAGCAAATCTCGATAGGGTGTGGGTGTGTAATACATGTTTCGCTATGATATGCATTGAAAATCTCGGTGCTGCTAGACTTCAGCTTCTCCTTTACATATTAACAATGTCAAACTCGGTACCAATCGGTAGACCCACACCCACACTCATTTTTAGGAGAAAAGCCATTCATGTTACGAAACTCAAGCTTCGTGCTTCACATCCTTGTTGCACTTTGAACTGATCTCAGATACCATCTTGTTCTTTTTACAGTATATCTACTTGCTATATGTGTTATCGAGCAACATGCAAGAACAGAATTCCTATTCTTGTGTCAAGGTAATATGTAACATTTGCGACATTCGAAGCTTTGTTTTTTTCAAGTATAACTAGTCACCTTTAAAATATTCGAAAAAAAATATTTATGACTTTTTTTTCTTCCAATTTATAGAAAATTATTATATTAAAAATTTATAATAAAATGTTGTACATAAATATCGAGTGTTTTCTCATTGAAATATTCAAAATGAAAATTAATATCATCAGCAAGTTGACGAGTCCGTGCAATATTTTTATCTCCTATATGAATAATAAAACGTTGATTAATTATATTCGACTTAATCTTTGTTAAATTTGAATGTTTTGTTAATCCATCAGTAAGAATACAAATTTTGCGAAGACCATTTTGTTGTTGTAAATATTTACAAACATCTTGTAGCATATTATTTAAATTTGATATAGATTTTGGTTTTAATTCTTGATCAAAATCTATACTAGAATTAAATTCTAATCTTTTATCATCAGTTTCAAAAATAATATGATGTATTTGTGATATATCTCTGAAAAAATTCAAAAAAAAAAATCTTTTGTTTTGTTTTGTTTTTTTTTGCTTCTAAATATTTAATTATATGTTCTTCATTTACCTTTTATTAAATACACGTTTGAGAAATGTAAGAACATTTGTTTTTTGTTCAGGTGATTTTATATCAATAAAAAACCATTCATATGTTGAATCAAGTTTAATAAGCTTATTTAATGATTTATTTGATATTAAAGGATTTCTTGGATTAAATATAAAATTACATAGAGGACATCGACTTGGTCTTGTTGGATTGAATAATTCATTTAAATCTATCATTTTTTGTATACATGATCGATCAAATGTATGTCCACAATCAAGAATAATTGGATCATAAAAACGGCAAAGACAAAGGGGACATTTTAAATCAATGACATCCTCAGAAAAAGACATTTTCCAACATAAATGATAAAAAAAAAAGAAGAAAAAAAAACAGAAGTGTTTAAACAGATAAGAAAAGGTTATAATGTCATAGTGTGTATCAACCTTTTTATCATAATGGCGACAAACAACGATGATTTTAGATGTAAAGTTTGTAAACAAATATATACAAATCCCGTGGTTCATAGACTTTGTGGTATTTCCTTTGATCGAAGATGTATTGGAAGAATATGTCCAGCAGAAGAATGTCGTCGAATTATTAATGAAAATGATTTAATAGATAATTATACATTGTTAAAAATTGCTGATGAATATCGATTTACTTTAGAAATACCTCCTACTTATTATCTTTTTCTACTTGATACTAGTACTTCAATGTGGTATTCTGATAGTTGGCTTCCTTTTGCCATAGGCGAAAGTCGATTCACACATGCAATACAGTTTTTAAACGATTTTTTTAAATTAAAGTAAACATTATTGATTATAATTTAACAAAAAAAAAAAAAATTATTTATTATATATATCATTTTTATAGATTGAATAAAATGACTGAAAAAGTTTCATTAGTTACATTTGATACATCTCAATTACAACGATTCGATTTCGAAATAATCAATGAAACTCATTTAACAATGTTAAAAAATTTAAAATGTGAAGGTAAAGATACAGCACTATTCGATGCTATTACATTTTGTCTAACAAAAATTGAACAATTAAAAATAATACTTGGTAATCAAATATTATCTTTATATCTTTTTATACTTACTGATGGAAGTAATAATTTTGGTACAAAAGAATCTATACATGCTAGTGAAATATTATGGCGTACAAGAAAACTTCATATATCTGGTCATATTATTCAACTAGGAGATAAACATAAAAAAAAAACAAGAACAGTATGTGATTTTATTCAATATAAATATAATCATTTTACAGGTGGAAATGTAAACGAATTTGTTAATTCATTTACAAGTTCAATTACAATGGAAACTCAAGCTCGAAATGTTCAAGTTCAATCTTCAATAAATTCAACTGCAATGATGATCAAACAACTACCCGATGTACCAGATAAACGCACAAAAGAACCATCGAAACAAAAAGAACTTGCATAAATATATAAACCATTTTTTTATTTTGAATATATTTATTCTTTTCTAATTAATCATGAATAAAACTCTAGTCCTTCTCTTTATAATCATATTTTACGAAGAGTGTATTACTAATTTCTAATGACAACATAATAGATATAGATTTCGAAGAATAACCAGAATTAAAGTCCATCGAATTTGAAATCTTTAGACTTAAAATATCTAAGTTATCGAAGAAGAAAAATAAAATAAAACATTTTCATGGAAGAATTTTTTTTTCTTCAGATCTTATTCATTTAATGAATTGTTTAATGACGGATGACCTCTTTTTAATTTCATTATCATTTGTTCAAATGTAACTTCATCATAAAAATAATCATTTGATATATGAATCTATATTTAATAAGTTTACTCTTTTATTATTCATTCTTTCATTAATCTCGAAAAAAATCATTTATATTTGATTTTTAAGGAGGTTGTAACTTAACAACGGTAAAGGATAAAGAAAGAGCAATTTATTATACGATAGTATTGTTGTCACTATAAAAAAAATTTCATTTAAAAACATCGAAACAAATATTTAAGAAAAACAATGAATAATCAAGCGTCTATGCCACCATATTTTCAATGGATTATTGATAAACGTTTAGCTATATGTGCTCATCCATTTCATGCATCACATATTCGATATTTACTTGAACAACGTATTCATACAGTTATTTCAATAAGTGATACATATAGTTCTGGAATACCAAATCAATCTCGAGCTGATTTACATGTTCATACATTAAATGTTCCTGATGGTGGAGCACCAACTATGCAACAATGTCAACAATTTGTTCATCGAATGGAAATTGCTCGACAACGGCAAGAGGTTAATTCTTAGTTTGTTATTTATTTATTTTTATTTTTAAAATATTTTCTCTCTTTTCAGGGTGTTGTTGTTGAATGTATTCGTGGTAAAGGAAGTGCTGGTGTATTAATTGGTTGTTATCTTTTAGCATTATGGAAAGTTCCACCAGATTATATTGTTAATCATTTACGTCTTATAAGACCAATTACATTGGAAACATCATTACAAGAACAACAAATAATTGATTATCATAGTACAATTGCATCAACACAACGTCATTTCTATGCAGAAGTTGATCAACCTCATAGTTGGGATATTGATACAAGTTATTTAAATACAACACCACTTGCTACACCACAACAATTATCACTTGCTTGAAAATCTTATACAATTAATCAATCCAATATTAAACAAAAGACATATATTTGTCTATATATTCCCGATATAACTTATAATATATTGCTTGACAACTAACAAAAAAAAATATATATATATTTTTACCATAAAAATAGATTTTGAATTTTATTAAATTAGTTTTTATTGAATAGAGAAAAGTCTCAAAAAAAGAAAACAGCCTTGTATTTGTAGATTCTCATTGGTCAAATGAATGAAAAATTAAGTATTAAAATTTAATGATGAAAAAAAAAAAATTTTTGTACATCCAAACAAAAACAAGAAAAACAATATCGAAATTGATATTAAAAAATCTTAATCACAAAGTCTAATTGAGTTCTGTCAGACGCAGAATAAATTATCCTAGATACTCATTATTGACAATAAACAGATAGATGTTTGACCTCACCATAATCATAACCGTGTCAAAAAAATAAATAGCAATTAATCAACAAACTCGTGATTGTATTGTTCTCGACGAAAAAATATGCCAAATGAAGCATGACGGTCATTTATCACAAACAAAAGATAAAAGAAAAACATCATTCATCATCATTTCAAAGATTAGAGATAAATATAAATGAGTTTTTCTTAGAATTTGAAATATGTTAGAATATTAGTCAAGATTATCCATTGATATCAAATTGAAAAATATTTCCAAATGATGTCGCTGACTTTTTCTTTTTTACATCAGCAGATGTCATTCTTTTTCGCTATATTTTGTTTTTTCTCTTCTCTTTATGAAAATTTTCTGATCTAAATTCTCCAATCATAAATTAGTCTTTTGTCTATTGTTCTTCTTCTGTTTTATTTCATTAATATTTAAAAATCAATATTAGATTAATTGAAAATTTTGTTTTCAGATGTCTTTACTTGATCAAAATTGGGGTACAGGTGGTAGTGCTGATGATGAAGCACAAGATGATAATCAACAAGGACGACAAGTAACAAACAAAAAAAAATCTAATTTATTAATTAAATATAATAAACATTATTATTATTATTATATCTATTTAGATTACAACATCTCGTGATGGTACATTAATGTTAATTGAATGTGCACCACAAATGTTTGAATTATTAGCTAATCAAATGAAACAAGATTCATCAATTAATAATGATGATGATGATGATGAAGATGCACAATTAACAACTGGTTTTCAATTAGTTATGCGTGCTTGTCAACGTTTTTATCAATCAAAAATAATTTCAAATGATAAAGATCTTAGTGGTATTATTCTTTATGGAACAGAAAATAGTCTTAATGCATTTGATTTTAAACATATATATATACTTCATGAATTAGCACAACCATCAGCTGAACGTATTATACAATTAGAAACATTATCAAATAAAAATACATATAAAATAAAATATGATGAATTATTTGGTTCAACACAAGCAACTGGTTATTCATTAAATGAAGCTTTATGGACATGTTCAAATTTATTTTCAAATTCACCACAACGTTTAACAATAAAACGTATATTTATATTTACATGTAATGATCAACCACACGCATCAAATTTAACATTAGAAAGACAAGCTAAACAACGTGCTAAAGATTTAAATGATGTTGGTATACAATTAGAAGTATTTCCAATATTAACAGAAACAATAATAAGATTTGATTTTAAAAAATTTTTTCAAGATGTTTTAATGTTAAGTGATGAAGATCTTGATATAAGAAATAATCAAGAACCAACAGGACGTTTAAATGAATTATTAAAACTTGTTTATTCAAAAGAACATAAAAAACGTGCTTATTGTACAGTTCCATTTTCATTAGGAAAAGCAGCTGATGGTACACCATTGGAATTTTCTGTTTCAGTTTATAATATGGTATTGTATTAAATTCTTTTAAGTTTTTTTTTTTTACATAACAAAAGACAAATATGAAATCTAAATTGCTACATACTGAGTGTCTTCTTTATATATAAATCAATAAGAAAAATCTAGCAAAAGATTCACTAACACAAAATAAAATTCATAATTAACTGAATCATTCTGAAATATGATTATAAAACATTATAATTAGTCAATCTTCTTATCTCGTTTTTTTTTGTGATTATTGAAATAAGATATTTCTTGAATAATCTAACAAAATTCTCTTTAATTAGTATGAAGATTGTCATAAAATCATCAAATAGGCTATAAAAGCTTGGAAAGAAAAATCATCTGTCAAAATGTTAATTTATATTATTTGTATAGTAAGCAACAAGGCTTGAGTGTACGCTCGAACATGTGTATTTTCTCGTGGTACTAGGTTTATGTAGTGCATCAAAATTTTTCAGTGCTTGTAATGATACGTTATGACATTATTGTAGTGAAGTAGACTTGAAAAACGTTTATGAGGAAACACATCGACTTTTGTAAAAAATAAATATTAGACCCATATATTTTACCAATGAATTGAATAGTACTCCGTTATTAGAATTGTATGAAAAATTCAAGTTAGATAAACTACAAAGTTAGTTAAAGTAATCTATTTATCGAATAAAAGCATTAGTAATATATTTTTTAATCGTCTAGAAAAACTTTTTATCGTTTTTTCGATGGTGTCATACGAGTATATTTCTTTTCGGCTTGATATCATCAAAGAAGTTTTGACAAAGTTTGAATCACAAAGACCAACAAAATCTCTTCCTTTGTGTTTAACTGCCCCATATTTTTCTTTGCTCATTCCATAGTCTTCGATGTGATATACATGTCCTAACTGCAATATACTTCTATGTATTGTTAATTGCTTCAAAGACTATAACATTACTTTAAAAAAAAATTTTGATTTTCGCAAAAAAAAAGCCGAGAACCAAAAACAATTAACAATCATTTTCAACAACATGAACAAAGCCATAATATAATTCTATAGTTGAAACTAAACCATACGCTTGAACTTTGTTTTAATTGAATTCTACAAAAAGATTTACTCATTCCTTCGTTCATTATTCTTAACTTCTCAATAAGAATCTTTTGAAAATTGTTAAGCCTACTATAAATTCAAAACATTCCGATGCCTATAGCTATATACAAATAAGCATCAATGAAAGCCTATCTATTACTTAGTTCTGACAACAGTCTCGTTATTGTTCTACTAATTGATAGAAAAATTCTTCAAACAAGATTATTGACTTGTAATACAATCCAGATGTATTCTTTTAATAGGTTCGTCCTTGTCCAAAACCAACCAAGATAAAATTAGATATGAAAACAAATTTGGAAACAAAAATTGTTACAAAACATTATCTTCCTGAAACAGGTTTGTTTTTTTTTTTCCTACATATATTTAAATTATTATTAAAACAAACTCTTGTTTTTCTTTTGTCTAGCTGAAATTCTTATGCCATCAGATATTCAATATGGTTTAGATGTATCAAATCGTCGTATATTATTTGATTCTGATGAAATAAAAGCAATAAAAAAATTTGGTGATCCCGGTTTTGAATTACTTGGTTTTAAAAGTCTTTCATGTTTATTACCACATCATTATGTTAAACCAGGTCATTTTATTTATCCAGATGAAAAATATGTTGAAGGAAGTTCATGTTTATTTAATGCTTTATTAAAAAAATGTTTAGAAAAAAAAATGTTTATACTATGTCAATTTTCAGCTAGACGAAATACACCACCACGTCTTGGTAAACAAAAAAAAATAAACAAACAATAAGAATCTTCTTTTTTTATTATTTATTTTTCTTTAGTTGCACTTATACCTCAAGGTGAAGAAATGAATAAGAAAGTTAAAAATGATCGTTTAGCATCGAATGGTTTTCATGTACAT